TGCTGCTCTCTGCTGCCCCTTGCTCCCTCGTGCTTCCTGTGTGCGCTCTCTCCTCCCCTTTCCCAACTTAAATGTCTCCCCACTGAAGGTTGATTTTTCTCCGTCCTCCTTGGGGGAGGCTGGGGAGAGGGGGGGGGGGGGGGGGGGGGGGGTTGTAACTCAATCTCTCCTCCTCCTCCCCACAGCACACAGGGAGCAGGGATGACAAATGGCTGAGGCATGTTCTGTTATAGGATCCGGCTCCGCATCATGATGATGTGGTCTGGAGGCTGAGTTGTGAGGCAGCTCTTGGACTGAAGGGAGGAGCTGAAAATTCTCTGCCTCTCCCTGATTGGGGGTCTCTGGCTCTCATCCCCAGCCCTCTTTCTATTCTGGGCCTAGTTCTCCTCCCCCCTCCCCTAACATCCCCTTCTGGGGAGCTGGGGCTCCCACTCTCCCTGTTTGCACTCACGTGCCTGCGCTCTGTCATGCATATCTTCCAGCTCACACCCTCCCCGCTGCATGGCTCTAGTCCTGGCAGGTTGCCCTGCATCCTGCCCCCTCCCTGTCCTGGGGCACCGGGGGAGTCTCCCACTGTTTACACTCTGTTGTGCTGTCTCTCCATGGGGTGAGGTGAGGCCCGTGTGTCAGAACTCGCCTGGGAGACGCCCCGGCTGGGCCACGCTCCACCATGCACAGAACAGGCACCCAACCATGGTAACAGGGGACACCGCCCACATCAAACCCACGGGCCTATCCAGCCTGCTATCCCCCTCGCCCTGCTCTGCCAGACCAGATTCACAAGCCCATCCTGTCTCTATCTCCCTCCTCCTTTCTGGGCCAAATCTCACTCTGTAACTCATCTGTCCTTGTAACCCCACCACACTGGATCAGACTAATTGGCCCTTCTGGCCTCATCTCCCTGCTAGAGCCTAATGCCTGGAAGCCTAAACTTACTATGGCTATCGTCCAGCCTGGCCTGTAGATTCCCCTTGCCTCTCTAGAGTTCTGTGCCAATGATTATAAGGAGCCCTGAGTAACTATAGGCCAGTTACCCTGACGACGATCCCAGGCAAAATCCCAGAAAGGCTTATTTGGGATACAACAAAGAATTAAAGGGTGGTGCCATGATGAATGCCAGGGAGCCGTGTTTTGGAAGATAGGGCTTGTCAGACAAACCTGATATCCTGTTTATTGGTGCCGTCACAAATTTGATAGATAAAGATAACTGAGCTGACATAATATACTTTGATGTCTGTGAGGCATTTGGCTTAGACCCATAGGATAATCAGGTTAAACAGTTCTGTACAGAATCAGACTAGCCCATATTAAATGAATTAGAACCTGGCTAACCAATAGAGCTGAACATTAATTATAACTGGAGAATCCTCATCTGATCGGGGTGTTTCTCTTGAGGATCTGGGGCCAAAGGTTCATTTGATATTTTTATCAATGATCTGGAAGAAGATACAAAATCACTGTTAACACATAACACCAAAATATGGCAGTGGTAAATACCGATGGGACAGGCTAGTTGGACAGACTGATCTAGATTGCCTGGTAAACTGGTCTCAGGTGAACAAGGTGCATTTTAACAGAGCCAAATTCAGGTTGAACCTCTCTAGTCCGGCACCCTAGGGACCTGACTGGTGCCAAACCAGAGATTTGACAAACCACAGAAGGTCATTGTTGTCTAGCAGCATTACCAACACTTCCACTGCTTTCTGGGCTCTTAGAGTTAAATAACAGCACAGAACACTGAGAGCCAGGACTGGTGGCTGTAAACAAACTTTATGGGAAACTTGGCCACACCATGATAAGCGGACATCCAGCTAACTAACATCATGCCAGACCCTGGATAGTGCTGGACAAGAGAAGTTCAATCTGTACAAGAACAACATTTCCTGTTCCAGGAGCAGGCCATGCATACTGGAGGAGGAACTGTATCCTGGGATGAAAAGGACTTGGGTGTTCTGATAGGTAACCAGCACACCAATTGACAGTGCAATGCTGCAGCTCAGAGGTCAAAGGTGTTCCTTGCACGCACAAGTAGGAGACTGTCCAATAGCTGGAGGGGGATGGTGTTACCTCTTAGTGAGGCCATTAGGGGAACAGTTCTGGTGACCATATGAGAAAAATTGGAGAG